ACTCTCTTCCCTGCTCTGCCCCCAGCCCAGAGTAGTGGGAAACAGCCAGCTTCTCTACCCACCACTGGCTACCAGTGTCTTGAGTCCACCAGCTCCGGTCGCAGGCTGAGTTTCTTGAGGCTCTCATAGCCCACCACAATGACGATGGTGGAAGGAGTAGCTGAGATGATTCTGGCCGAGAGGCCCTTCATGAGGCCCCAAGGTCCCTCTTCTGCCATCAGCTGTCTGAAGGTTAGGATGATGGAGCTCTTGCCTTCAACCTGGAAGTCAACACAGTTGGGGATCACAGTCTGCGGTCAGTGCCCTCTGCGCAGTCTCCCTCTGCCTCAGGCTCATGTGGGAAAACTACTTGAGAGGCAGAAGGGCTGGATTCTGCTTCTGAGGACCAGAAAGCACAGGGACTTTGTATGCGCCCTGGTGCCAGACTGCCTGGGTTCAAAGTCTGATCCCCAGCTTATTAACAGCATATCCCTGGGCAATTTAACTCTTTACATTTCAGTTTCCTCAAATATAAAACAGTGATAATAGTTTCTATGCCATGAGGTTGTTCTGAACAAAAAGAAACTAATACTTGTAAATGCTGAGAACAGAACCTGGCAGAGAGTCAATGTTCAGTCATGTTAACTCTTCACATCGCTAGCTAAGCCACCTAGCTGTAAGTCAGGTTCTTCTCTCTGGTCTTGGAGATGCTGGATTAAATCCCCTYCAAGGTCCTCTGCAGTTCTGCCAGTCTGGGAGTGTGACTCTAGTCATCTCAATCTGTCTGAAGCCCAGGGCGAGAACCCTCCCCTTCATCCTTGCCATCGCTCACACACACCATGGCCTGTCTTCCCTGTCACACTGGAAGCTTAGCCAGGGCATTCATCTCTTCTTTCTTAGTGGTCCCACTCTTCCCCCACTCCTAAACCACACCCTTTAGAGACTGACCACTCAGCTCCTCGGCTGAACAGACACATTCCTTGTCCCCCTCCCTACAGCATGACCTACACAAGCTGATCCCAGCCCTCCCCAGTGCCCCTGCCTCCATCAGCACCTCCTCCACAGGCCCTTCTTCTTCACTAGTACCACCTCATCTGACCACCTCTGCTCCCCAACCTTCCAGTTCTCCACAGCCATCCAGGGGCTTTTCTAGCTACGCCTCTGGGAGCTCCTCAGAGTAGAGACCTGTCCTTTCCCTTGGATCTCCTAGAACACTCAGGACAGGCTCAGGAGAGAATGGGGACTAGCCAATCAGACGCCAGTGTATTCATTTTCAAATGCAGCAGGAGACATTCTTTTCTAGGGAGAAAAGATACCTGCATTTGCTACCTGTCTCCTTCTAGACATTCTGATAGCAGAGAAACTGACTTTATCTCCAAAATACTTTTTTGATGTTGTTGCTTTATTTTTATTTGGTTTTTTGAGAGGGGGTTCTACCATGTTGCACAGACTGGTCTTGAACTTCTGGACTCATGATCCTCTACTTCAGTCTCCTCAACAGCTGGGACTACAGACACAGGCCACCACATATGGCTCCCCAACCTGTTAATGTTCTTTTCCTTCCCTTTTCTCCTCACCATAACCCAATGATCCCATCTCTTGTTCATCTTTCTTGATTCTCTATCTTTCCCAAAAATCATTCAAAATCTCCTTTGCAGCCAGCATGTTGGTACAAACCTATAATCTCAGCTATTAGGGAGTCTGAGGCAGGAGGATTATAAGTTTGAGGCCAGCTTAGACAACTAACAGGTGAAGAAAAGAGCTAGATACACAGCTCAGTGGTAGAGTACTTGTCTAGCATGACCAGGGCCCTGGGTTCAATTCTCCAATACTTAAAGCGGGGGGGGGGGGGACAAATCTCCCTTCTCTCCACCTAAAGCTAGAGTAAAATCTACCCTTTGCAATATTTTACACCATCATTCAGACTCTATTTTTAGGTGAAGGAAAGAGTCTTTGAGYTGACTGAAGACAGAGACTGTAAGGGCTTTGTCAGCATTTTTACTCAGTTGAAACAAAACAATCTGTGAAATCACTCTCCCCCCGCGTGGTGACACCTCTCTATAATCCTAGCAACTTGAGAGGCTGAGGCAGGAGGATCACAAATTCAAAGCCAGACTTAGCAACTTAGCGAGACCCTGTCACAAAAATAAAAAATAGCCAGGTGTGGTAACAGGAGGCTGAGGCAGGAGGATCGCAATTCAAAGCCAGCCTCAGCAAAAGTGAGGTGCTAACAACTTAAAGAGACCCTGTCTCTATATAAAATACAAATTAGGGCTGGGAATATGGCTCAATTGTCGAGTGCCCTTGAGTTCAATCCCCAGTATCAAAAAAAAAAAAAAAAAAACAGTCACTCTCACTCTCTGTTGAGAACCCATAGCCTAGTGGAAAAAAAAATCAGACAGACTTACGAAACTAACTGAAATCAATACCTTTTTTTTTTTTGTGTGTGTGTTTTTGTGTGTGTGTGTGTGTGTACCAGGGGCCAAATCTAGAGGCGCTTAACCACTGAGCCACATCTCCAGCCCTTCTTATATTTTATTTAGAGACAGGGTCTCACTGAGTTGCTTAGGGCCTCACTAAGTTGCTGAGACAGGCTTTGAATTTGAGATCCTATTGCCTCAGCCTCACAAGTTGCTAGAATTACGGGTAATGTACCACTGTGCCCAGAGTTGAAATCAATACTTCTAATAATCACAAACTGCAAGGTGAAGATAGAATGACTTATAGGTATGCTAATAGCTAGAAGAAACCAGGTAGAGTCACACAAGGTAGCAGACAGGGTAAGAGAAACAATCTAGGTACTTCCAAGTGCTCACTGGTTTTGCAGATGAGAAGCACAAGGAAGGGACCTGGATGACCAGGAACAGACTGACTAGACCAAAAGACCATGTCACATAGAGGTCAAGGGAATGCTGGAGGGCCTGAAGATTATGTTTCTCATGGCTTCTCTGGGAGGAGGGTTGGGGAGGAGACCAGTATTACCTGCACACGAGTTCGGATGACATCCATGGGATTGGTGAGGATAGAGGCAGTGGCTGCAGCCRGGGGCCCCGAGATGGCTTGAAAGACAATGTGAGGGCACTCCTTAGGACACAGGTGCGAGAGCTGCTCTGAAATCCAGGGAAAGACAATGCCTGAAACATGAGGTACCACCAAACTTCCCTCACCATTCCTGCTTGCTTTTACTCACTTTCACAACCATGACAAGCCCTCCATCCTTTGCTACCTGAGACCTACGATTCCCATCTTTTCTCTTCCCTGTTTATGCCTTCATCCAATTGTCAGGAGCTGCCTGGATGCAGATGCCTTAAGTCCTGATGCATGGGTTCTGAACAATTATTGCATTCAATCTGGCACGGTAGTGCCAGGTGGCAGTAACTTGGGCATTACCCTAACTCGGATAACAAGGCGTGGCTCCAGGAGTAAGCGTCTCTGCAGGGGGTTGAGTTACACTCACCTATTCCTTTGTAATCCTACCCCATTGCCCTTTTGGGGATAGAATGTTCCATGGACCCTCCCCTTGTGTGTCCCATATATAAGAATAAAGAATTCCAGTGGCTCTTTCTCTTTTCACAGACCCCTAAGGTCTCAGAGCTGTCCCCAGATTATTGAAAAGGTACTTCTGTGTGTTGCGTGCTTTCTTTGCCGTTTTTTAAGTTATTGGAATAGTCAGATTTTGTGAACCAGCATTAAGTTGCCAGCTGGGATAGATGGTGATATTCAACAACAAGAAAAAAAAATCACATTATACATCTCGGGCCCCTTCTAGAGTCATCTTGGTGATATCACCCATTTAAATAGGATAAGACTCCCCTGGAAAAGAGAATATCAAAACCTCTTTATAGACGACTCCTTTCATCTGATGGACAGAATATTCTTCCTGATATAAAAACTGTGTTCTTGCTGTTCCTCCCAAGTCATAGGCTAGACAAGCAGATGCTACGTATTGGCGTACATATGCATTAAACAATTTTGGTAGGATAAACTGTGACTGACTGTCTCTATGAAAGGGAACTGGATGACTCCCGTGGGTAAAGAGTCTTTTCATTGCATACTGCATTCCTTTACCCATCTTTTGAATTTTGGAGCAGAATGAGAGAAAGAAAGTCATGAGACCCAAGAGGTATGCCACTTAGAGCCTGAAGCCATTGCAAGAACTTTGATTCCCTCTCAATTTTCTCTTCTATGGTCAGTCACCATACCGCTAAGAATTTTTTTCTCGTGCTCCTAGTTTTGGTAGTTTGTAACCAAGCAACTAAAGACAGGAGGAGGAGAAGTAGGGAGGAGGGGGTTGGCAGGGCAGAAGTGAGGGCTTCCAAGTTCCAGCTGGCATGGCAGAGCTCCTTCAGCCCTACAGAATCACCTCTTCCCCAGTTTCTAATCACTTTCTTCCCCAGAGTTGGCGTGCAAACAGAAACAGTGGGGAAAACAACAAAAACACAAACAGTGAATTGGCAGTTGTGCCTTACTGGGTGCCCTGTTTCTCCTGCAAAGAAAGCATTTTGCAATCATAAAATGTCGCATTGGGATCCAGATTCCAATTCTGACTATACCTACGTAGCATGCCACTTTCCTGGGGATAGGGAGGGGATGAATAAAACAAAGGCAAAGGGGTGGAGGAAAAGAGTTCCTGTCTTTCCCTCCTCTCCATTATTCATTCAAAGGCTGAGGATATAGCTCAGTTGGTGGAGTGCTCACCTAGCATCCAAGAGGCCCCAGCATCACAAAAGCAAAACAATAATAATTAGTAGTAGTATCATTCATTCATGCATTATTCATTCAATAAATGTTTATTGAACACCTATTATTTACAAGGCAGAAGATAATCCCATCCAGCCATGGTGGCACAAAACTGTAATACCAATGATTTGGTGGTAGGCCAAGGCAGRAGGATCCCAAGTTCAAGGTCAGCCTCAATAATTAAGTGACCCCTAAGCAATTTAACAAGACTTGTATCAATAAAAAAAAGGGGGGATGGGGATTCACTGGTGTAATGGCACAYACCTGTAATCCCAATGGCTCAGGAGGCTGAGACAGGAGGATGGTAAATTCAAAACTAGCCTCAGCAATTTAGGGAGGCCCTGAGTAACTTAGAGAGACCCTGTTTCATAATTTAAAAATTAAAATGGGCTGGGGATATGGCTCAGTGGTTAAGCACCCCTGGGTTCAATCCCTAGTACCTCACCCACAAAAAAAAAAAAAAAAAAGAAGAAGATTAACCCAGGTCAATGACACACAAAAAAAGAAGATAAAGCCAGGTCAATGACACCGTGATAAGCAGTAGACATAAAACAGAGAAATAGGGAAATACCTTCATGGAAATTATATTCCAATCAAGAGCTGAGGTTTGGGGTAAAATAATTGCAAATCATGACAAGTGCTAAGAAGGAAACAAGGTGCCAAAACAGAAAACATAAAGAACCTTCTTTCCAATAGAGTGGCTAGAGAAGTCTTTGCAAAGGTGGGTCTGAAACATGAGAAGGAGCCAGCCACACACCAGAGGAAAGAGCTTCCTAGGCGGACAGAACATCATCTGCAAAGGCCCTGAAGCAGSACAGAGCTTCATGTGAACCAGGAAACTCAGGAACATCAGTGAGGCTGGAGCAGAGTGGAGAAGCAGAGGCCACAGGGTGCCGCGCTGTGGAGCCCATGAGAAGAAAACTGGGTTTTATTCTAAATGCCCACAAGGCAGCCTTGACACTTGAAGCAAAAGGAAATGACAAGAACCAATCTCACTCAACAGATATTTATTGAACACTCAGCCACCAAGCCAGTGTTGGAAGGTAGGATAGTGAGCAAAAACAAGATGGCCCCTGTTCTAACACACTGCACTCCAGCGGGGATAGAGACATTAACTTAATAATCACATGAATGAATGTATCATTACAGACTCAGCTGAGTGATCTGAAAGAAATGTGGCTTCATATAAACATCCAAAAAGGAAGCCAGTCTAGACTGGGGCAGCAGGGAAGATGCCTCCATCATAAGACTCTTGCGAGAAGGAAATGATGAAGATGCAAGGTCGCCCCACACAGAGCTCAGCACACAGGGCATTCAGCCAGTGTTATTTTCTTCCCCTTCCAAGAACATTTCCACATAGCAGAAAAGATAAGGCAAACAATAAAATCAACACAAATGTATACTACCTTAAGAAAGATTCAAGCAATTTCAGCAGGAATAGAGAAAAAATGGGGAGAGACTTTCTCGAATCACCAGGACTAAATATGAGACAAGAAGGAGGGAACGGTCAAGCACAATTCCCAAGGAGTCAGCCTAAAAGATGAGAAAAACAAGGCCTGGGCTGGGGATGTGGCTCAAGTGGTAGCGCGCTCGCCTGGCATGCGTGCGCCCCGGGTTCGATCCTCAGCACCACATACAAACAAAGATGTTGTGTCTGCCGAAAACTAAAAAAATAAATAAATATTAAAAAAAAAAGAAAAAAAAACAAGGCCTCTGACAGATGAAGTCAGCCAGAAGGGAAAGCCAGCATACTTACATGAAAAAAATTTCAAATGTCAGTAGATGCCTTCATGTCAAGAGGTCCAAGAGTCAGAATGTCTTACCAGACTTTGGAAAAGGTTAATTTGGGAACGAAAGATACTAGACATATTGGGGAAATGTACCTCTAATTGTAAATAAAACCAAATGAGGACAGAAAGCCAAACAAATGCTCCGCAAACAAATGTTCACACTTCCTGGGACCCTTTTCCCTTCCTCCCTCACTCCCTCTCTCCCTTCCTTCCTTCCTGTTTTGTAGTGATCAAACTCAAGACCTCACACATGCTAAGCAAGTGCTCTTCCACTCAGCTGTACCCCAGCTCTTTTGTTATTTTGAGATAGGGTCTTGTTAAGTGGCTGAGGCGCCTGAAACTTGTGCTCCTCCTGCCTCAGCCTTCTGAGTTGCTGGGATTATAGGTATGCACGACTGCACCAAGCCTGGGAAGCTTTTCTTTTCTTTTTTTTTTAAGTGGTAGTTAGACACAATACCTTTATTTTATTTATTCATTTATTTTTACATGGTGCTGAGGATCGAACCCAGGAACTCACATGTGGGAGACGAGTGCTCTTCCCAGCCCCTGGGAAGCTTTTTTAATATTAAGATTGCCAGAATCTGGAAGAGTGCAGTGGCATGCGCCTACAATCCCAGCAGCTTGGACGGCTGAGGCAGGAYGATCAGGAGTTCAAAGCTAGCCTCAGCAGAAGGTGCTAAGCAACTCAGTGAGACCCTGTCTCTAAATAAAATACAAACAAAAAATAGGGCTGGGGATGTGGCTCAGTCGTCAAGTGCCCCTGAGTTCAATCCCTGGTATCCGCCCACACAAACAAAAAAAAGATTGCCAGGATCTGCCATGGTAGCACACACCTGTAATGCCAGAGACTCAGCAGGTTGAAGCAGGAGGATCTCAAGTTCAARGCCAGCCTGGGCAACTTAGCAAGACCCTGTCCCCAAATAAAAAATATGAAGGGCTGGGAATATAGAATCCTAGGTTCAACCTCCAATAACACACAAAATACAAAAAATAAATTTTGCCAGGCATGGTGGTACACACCTGTAATCCCAGCAGCTTGGGAAGCTGAGGCAGGAGGATGGCAAGTTCAAAGCCAGCCTCAGCAACATAGTGAGGCCCTAAGCAACTTAAAGGACTCTGTCTCAAAATAAAAAACAGGGTTAGGGAGGTGGCTCAGTGGYTAAGTGCCTGTGGGTTCAATCCCTGGTACAAAAAAAAAAAAAAAATTTTTTTTAGAGATTTTCAGAATTCATTTTCAAAAGGTCAGGGGTAGAGTCTAAGAATCTGAATTTTACCAAAGAGTCCAGATGAAACAGAAGAAGAAACAGAGTTATCAATAAAAAGAAGGTATAATCAGGAAAATAAAAGAATCACCAGAAAAGTACAGTGCCATAGGACGAAATGATTACAGGACAGGAAGTCATTAGAAAGTACCCTTTGGGACAGGACGGAATGCCCAGTGCGAAAGGCAAGAAACCAGCAGCAGCCATCAGGAAGCTTATGAGGACAGATGCCCTGACCAGAATGTGGTAGTGACCCACGGCTGGGGAAGCAGGCACACTCAGGTTCTGCACTCAGCAATGTGCTCTGACCTTTCAGAAAGCAAAATGTCTACTGAAGCCCTCAGTAATTCAGATTCTGGAAAATATTTAAAGAGTAAAATATCTTTATTAACAAAGACACATTGTAGGACACTTTGTTTAATAATGTTGAAGGAAAACATCCAACTCAAAAGCTCACTATTGCTAGGTGCAGTGGTGCACACCAGTAATCCCAGCAGCTCAGGAGGCTGAGGCAGGAGGATTCCAAGTTTGAGACCAGCCTCAGCAACTTAACAAGACCCTGTCTCAAAATAAATAATTTTTTTTAAAAAAGGGCTGGGAATGTAGCTCAGTAGTTAAATACCCCTTGATTCAATCATCACCAGTACCCCCCAAAAATAAAAAAGCTCACTACTATCTTCAAATCCCAAACATCCAACAGCTTTTGAACCCCACCACCTTCCAATTCTCTGGCAATACTCTGCTAACACAAGGTGATCCCAGCACACCCAGAGCACGCACTATGAACTGTTCTATACTCACCTACTTTACTTCTCTGACCCCCTCATTACATTCACAAGCTCTTTGAAGGCARAACCATGTCTCACTCATCTTTGAATCCTCTTGGATTCAAACAGTTGTTGGATGAATGGCCCATTCCCCCATTAACTCTCATCTCCACTGCAACCTGCACAGATCAGCAGTACCTCACCCTATCAGTAGCCCCCATCCCCCATTTTCCTGGCCCCTGCTTACCTGCATAGAAGTGATAAAAGGGCCACCAGACAGCACTGTTTGGGATATAGGTAAGCAGTGAAGCCACGTAGCCTCGGTAGAAGCCTCGAAGCCCATCAGCTCGCAGGATCTGCCTGATGATGTCTTTCGTTTGGCCAAAGGCAATTATCCCGTGTCCCTCTGGGTTCCCACGCACCTGGAAGCGGCCCATTCTCTCCCCCTTGCGCTGCATCATCAGGTGCTGGGAGACCACGTCAATGGGCACTGTGATGCTCTGGGCCACAAGGGAGGCCGAGCCACCAGCCACTAATGATTTCACTGTGTTGCTCTGGCTGTAGTCAGCTACAAATTTCCGGGTGAKCTCATAAGTGGTGACATAGCACTGGCCAGAGATGAGGGTAAAGGTGTTGACCAGGAACCCCCGGTAGAGGCCAGACACACCATCTGCTCGCAGGATCTTAATGAAGGCATCAAAGGTCCCATGGTAGAGGCTCTTGCCCTTCTGAACCTGCAGGCGGGTGCGGATGAGGGTAAATGGGTAGACGCTGACCCGGATCATCATTGTCATTGCYACACCAAACACGTAGAACTTCTTCTTGTCCAGATGTTCCCACTCAATGATCTGGATGTTTCGTTTGTCCTCCATTGTGCCTGGAGACCTGGGATTTGGACAGGGTGGAGCGACGCGAGGAAGGAGGTCAGAACTTTGTGCTTTCCCCTCTGGGCTAGTTTCTAAATTCCCCTTCTCCTCTCCTGAGATACCCACCTCCCCAAAGCTTAGACTTCACCCCGCTTGGCTCTGCCCATCACCAGCCTTCAGAAACCAGCATCTTGACTGTCCTTCCCAATTCTGGTCCCCACACAGAAATCATCCCTCACCATCGTGACCCTCCTGACTCCACTCTTAGCTCAGTCCCCGACCCTAGCATCTGGGACTGTCCATCCTGCACTTTCTCTGCCTGGACCACCGTGACACAGCCTGAGGCAGAGACCACTCTCCTTGTCTGGCCCAGCCAGGCAGAGTTCAGAATGCTGTGGTCAAAGGAACCACCTGGAAGGTTGCAGGGCCTTTTTAAGTTGCTAATGGGATGTCATTAAGTGACATTTAGGAGGTTCATGAAGGCTRGAAGGGACTGCTCCATTTAAAAATATTTATTTTTTAGTTATAGGTGGACACAACATCTTTATTTTATTTTTATGTGGTGCTGAGGATCGAACCGAGCCTCACGCAAGCTAGGCGAGCGCTCTACCTCTGAGCCACACCCTCAGCCCCAAGTGCTCCATTTATTGTGCCCCTGGGCTCACTGAGAAGGCACCATGTTTGCCGTACATCCTCAGCAAGGTGCCTCTTGCCACCATTTACCAGCTGACAAGTCTGATTTTTTTAAATTAATTAATTWATTTTAATTAGGTATATATATATGACAGCGGAATGCATTTTGATTCATTGTATACAACTGCAGCACAACTTTACATTTCTTTGGTTGTACACGATACAGCATCACACCATATGAGCAGTCATACATGTACCTAGGGTAATGATGTCCATCTCATTCCACCGTCTTTCTTACCCCCATGCATCGTTCCTGCCCTCCTTCCCCTTTGCCCAAAGTTCCTCCATTTTTCCCATGCCTCCCTGCTCCCCGACAGATCTGATTTTGTTCGTGGTTTCCCATGCTGGCCTCTCTGAGCCCCCCCTTTTCCAGTCTGTATTAGAAGAAAGTGAGGGGAAGAGCCCAAGTCGGGCTTTTACACCACAGGCACCCCCTATCACCCTCCAGGGAAAAGAATTAGAGACCCAGGGACAGGCCAAAGGTCAGAGTCCTCTTTGGTTATTAGATAGCACTCCAGAAAGGGAAAAGAACCACCTAGAAGCCTAGCGCTACAAAGTGGAGGACATGTCTGACCCTGTGCTTTCAACCTAAGCATACAGAGCACAACCGCAGCCCTGGAGAATGAAGGGAGAAATGACACAGACTCTGCCGCCAAGAAATTCAGTCTGTTCAAGGAGACACTGCATCCCTCTAGGGAATGGATATAAGACACAAAGAGAAAGAGAATGGGGCAAATGATTATACGTGTGACCCATATGTTAAGTTTATTCATTGCTTAGACTTTCGAACAAACCAGTAAACTTACTAATTTAATAACTGTCTAAAATCAGGAGCTTCAAATTTAGGAAATGTGAAACCAGAGGACAYCATATACTTAGTGGAAATGTCATATGCTCTGGTGTAGCCCAATGGTTATATAGGATACTGGAAATTTTCACCCAGGCAGGGAAAGTGGGAAGTTAAAGTTCCAGGAAGTGAGAAGCCAGGGACTCCCCTGGCTTTTGAGACAGGAGATGGGTAAGGAGAAGGCCACCTCATGGGGACAACTCTAGAGGGCTGAAATGTTCTACACAAGCAATTCTGGTGACAAACCTCATGTTAGGTGTCTAACCAGAGTCCTTCCTCAATCACCTTCCCTAACAGAAGTCCCAACTCAGGCTTAGGTAGCTTTTGTTCCATGGGAATTGCTCTTGGAGTCTCTGGAAGTCCAGGGGTGGGGGAGGTTGGCTTTGCAGGAATCCCTGAGCTGCACTGTTACCACTTTCATTASAGTATGGGTTACCCACAGTGCAATCTGAGTACCTGAGAGCCGAGGCATGGGTGAGGTGCGTGGAACAAGACAGGTTTCCTGGAGGACAAAGCAGCTTGAATAAAGAAGGAATACAGGAGCTGGGGTTGTGGCTCAGCGGTAGAGCTGAGGTTGCAGCTCACCTAGCACATGCGGGGCCCTGGGTTCGATTCTCAGCATCACATAAAAATAAAGGTGTTGTGGGGCTGGGGATGTGGCTCAAGCGGTAGCGCGCTCGCCTGGCATGCGTGCGGCCCGGGTTCGATCCTCAGCACCACATACCAACAAAGAT